CGACGGTCCGTCGTGCCCATGACGTTCTGTCGTGGGGTCCATCGCCTCAGCCTGTTTTTCCAGAAATAAAATCTACTGTTCAAAACGACTAAACAAGTCATTACACAGTGTTTCTAGGAAGAGTGCCCGGTTGCCGTGTGTTCACTGTCGTAGATAATTGGGCCATTTGCAACTCGATCTGTTAAATCGATATTGCATGTGTATCAACTTTTTGCCCAATACTAGCTAAATCACACCTTAACTCTTTAATGTGTTCATCACTAGCATCGAACCTCCTCATCATTTTTTGCAACATATCCTCAAATCGCGCCATACTATTTCCACCATCCCTAGGAGTAACTTCACGATTTTGAGGAGGGACATAGGGCCCATTCCTATCATTTCTGTTACCGTAGTTACCCCTGTTGAAGTTTTTGTCGCAGTTGTAGTTTCCATATCGGACATAATGACCCTCACGATTATAGTTACCATAGTTCCGACCTTGGTTCCCTTGACCTTGGTGCCAATTATCCTGATTTGAGCCTTGGGCGCTTGGTCAGAAACCCCCCGTCTGCTTATTTACTGCATAAGTGTCCTCCGCATAATAGCATTCATCACTAGGAGGTGGTGGTTTAGCCAAGTAGTTGACTGCATTTATCTTTTCTGCACCCCCAGTGACATGTTTTAGTACCAAACCAAGCTCAGTTCTCATGTGATCCATTTCTTCACGAATCTCATCTGTGGCTGGGTTGTGAGTGGACTGCACTGCGAATGTGTTTCTCTCTGTATCAGACTTCCTAGTACTCCAAGCTTTATTATTCCGGGAGATTTTCTCTAATTTTTCGGCAATTTCAGCATAAGGACATTCCCCATAAGATCCACCTGATATAGTGTCCAATACCGCTTTATTATTATCATCTTGTCCCCGATAGAAGTATTCCTTCAGTGACTCATCATCTATACGGTGATTTGGAACACTTCTCAAGAATGAGGTCAATCTATCCCAAGAACTACTAACTGACTCTCCTGGTAGTGCCACAAAGTTGTTCACTCTGTCTTTGTGGTTTATTTTCTTGGAGACCGGATAGTAGCGTGCTAAGAAAACATCCCTTAGTTGGTTCCAAGTGAAGATTGAGTTGTATAGGAGCTCAGTGAACCATATAGCAGCCTCTCCTGTTAGTGAGAGAGAAAACACTCTGAGCCCTATTACATCTAAGTCCAAGTCAGGCCTCCCTACACAGCTTTTACACACTGCCCTTACCTTAGCTATATGGGCATGTGGATCCTCAGAAGGTAGCCTTGAAAACAAACCTCTGGCAGTGAGCATTTGCATCAGGCTACTAGTTACCACAAAAGTATGGCCTGTGGGTAGAGGAGGCAAAACAAGTGGCCCATCGGAGTCTGCTATGTTATCATAGCCTCTGTAGTATGCTTGGAGCCGTGGAGCGGGATTTTGTCCCCTCTGTTGGTGTTCACCCGGAGCATCAAGTAACAACTGACCATGAACATCAACCGGAGCTGGGATGTTCTTGTTTGTATCATCGTCGTTGATTCCTAAGTTTCGATTCATATTGCATAGTGTACGCTCTAATTCGTGATCGTAGGGAAACAATGGTTCTCTTCCTCTCCGTGTATTTGGCATACAAGGAGGATAATTCTGGAAAAAAAATCAAAAACAATAAAACAAAGTAAAATCAAGAAAATATCAACTAAACTATAGTAATACGTTCAAGTTAATCTAAAAGCTACTTTCCCCGGCAGCGGCGCCAAAATTTGATACGCTCAAACTTACTTCTCAAATAAGAAATAAAGTGGTCGTGTCAAGTAAATAACCCAAGTAGTGAGGTTGGGATCGTTCCCATGAGGAAAATAGTCTAGACTTAACTTCAATCTATTATTACTATTGTTCAGGATGACTTCCTTGGAAAATAAAAACAATAAAAAGGGGTTTCTATTTCTAAATGAATGAAAATAACTAAC